TTGCTGTATTGCGTGATGTCTCCATTCAAACATCACTTGTAGCATGACTTGTGGTTTTTGTTACTGTAGATGTAAGGTCAGAAATAGTATAATAAAATGAATACTTAAGTTAGGAGACAAATCATTGTTCGTTTAGAAAGAAAACTCCCCTATTCGATGTCGTTTGTCGAGTCAGAACCAACAGCTGCATCTGACGAGGCTGCAGTATTTCTAAAAGGAAAAACGACAGAGATTTGGGGAGCACCTGTTCACTAGAGGAAATTGTCTGGATGCTACAATTAATTTCTGCGTGCTCGACACTGTAGAGTAATGATGGTAATTTTGCTAGACGTTATTACGAGAGAGGGGTAATGAAAACACAATTACCTAACTGCGCCTCTTCACGAATAATACGACAACCTCGTTTAGAAATTGCACCATTGGCACATTTTTGCGTCAATGGACGACATCGTGTATTTTTAGCTTTTATATATTATACGAAGTTTTGAGTAAAAAGAAGATTGCTCCATTTCTATTTTTAAAACTTCAAATCGGAATAAACTCCAAGATATACGCTGTTTTTTTCCCTTTCCTGTTCTCTCCTCTCTCTTTTACTCTTTTCTCTCTTTCTCTCTCTTTCTGCTCTTCCGCATCAATTTAGTATAGGTGAAGCAATTCTGTTATTAAAAAGAAAACACATTTTGAACAGACAATCTGCAGAATCTCCCAATATGTTTCCATTAAATTTAAAAGACATTTTTTAACGCCTTTCTGGATTTTAAGTCAGTTCTTTCTCCAAGGCTGACTCGGCAGTATATTCACGTGATAATATAAATCACACTTCTGCTAAGGAATGTAGAAATACTGAGCAATGTGCCAAGTAAGCAGCATATCCACCTTACTGATGATCTAGAAAATAAGGTTTTTTTTACACTAAATACTTTTATAAAAAGAAAAATTTGCTGCTGGATAACTGATAAAAAAGAATCTTTAAGGAGATATCATAGTTAATTTATTATTTATCGCCTGCCATGAAAGCCACTACTACGGTGACAATTATAGGTTTGTTATTCTGTCTTCTTGAAAGTTTCATTTCCAGTTAATCCGTTTCTTCAACTCTTAACTTCATTTTACATTTAATTTAGCTGTATAAATGTGCATGACAGTACTAATATGTATACATTATAAACAAGTTATTTTAAAATTTTGTTGAGTTATTTATTTAAAATTTTTATTATTGCTTCAGAATTAAATTATTATAATAAGAAAACGAAATTATTTTTAAAAAACAAATTTTTAATTTATAAAATTATAATTTCTAAATGAGTTTTAGTAGTAAAAGGTCGGCTTCTCTGCACGACAAGTGAATCGTAAGGAGAAGACGAATCAACATAATTACATTTTTATTTTAGTTATTTCTGTTAAAGATTCTATTAATTTGTGTATTATTTTTGCCTAAAGCTTTCAATTTAAAACATTTTATACTTCATTTATAGAGTTATAATCTTAAATTAATTTTTAGTATTTTAAAAAGATAAATTACTATCTTTAACATCAGTCAAGCCATGAGGGATAGGTTATTATTAAAAAATGTTATTAAATTTTTTGATCCTTATCAAGCAAGTTATTCGAAATAATTTTTTTAACTTAAAGTATTAATTTTAGATAAAAATAATATAATTTAAAACCATAAAAACAGTTTTAAATAGCTTTTTTTTAAAAAAAGGGAAAAAAATTAAGTGGTGGCTTCACTGCACGACATCAAAGCCACGCGGGAAAGACTCATTTAAAAAATAGTTCTGATTTTTAATCAAGATAAAAAATTAATAATAAATTCTATTATAATCTAATTTTGCTAATAATTATATCCGTTAATATTTAACAAACTAAATATGCATGGTTGATTTTAATGATAATTTATTTATGGTTTCTAAATTATAAATTTTTGGCAGGAGATAGCTACAATGGAGAGTATCAAGTGGGAAAAACGATATTGAGGCGAGAGAAATTAATAAATATTGTATTGTTTCTTAATAAAACGAGGACGGTTGGATCTGTACAGGGTGCCAAACAAAGCAAATTCGTTCTAGACAATGACTAGTTCTAAAATTTCACGCTAATTTGAGCAGTACATAAATTACAGGGCTTAATGCCCCTTAATTAAAGATTCGAGTTCTTTTGCGAGTGCACTAATTACATAGTGGACTTACTCACCATAAACACAGGAAATGCAGTACTGTAGCTAATGTCATTAGTAGAGATGTGAATTTTTCATCGCGTTCTCTCACAGTATTTTTCATAACCTGAGCATCTACTAAGCTTTAAACTCGAAACTGGATATTTACGAAGATTCTCAAAGGTTTACGTTTTCTTAATACATCTAACCAATTTGTTATGCTTTCAAATTTTATCGACCGAAATTCTCTTTTTAATAGAATTTTAAAGCGCTTGTTAACGAGACAGTAATTAGACGGTTGTGAATTGAATAGATGTCCTTTACTTAAATATAAGGTTACTAATGTGTATTTTCTGATTGTAAAAGGTGCTAATGATAGAGAAATGTTACAGAATCCTCTTAATAAACCCTCGACGGAGCCTTTATACTAAATTCTTCTACTCTAACATCGTTTAGATGGATACAAATTCTGGAATTAATTTCTCCATCCGGCGCTTTAATATACGAAAAATATTATACAAGTAAGCAGCACTTCTTTCCCCAATTAAAAAAGTTTCTCCTTTTTTACGGATACAGAGAGAAAGAGACGAAGAAAATTGATTTTTTTTTAAGTGAAATTTCATCACTCGTGTGCTAACTAAAAAGTCGAGCACATTCGATATCTTCATCATCAATTATAAATAGCGAAGCAAATCAAATTCTGCACGATCGTTCTTCTGCAGCTTTTAAAAAAACAAGTAGTTATACATGAAAAATAGATCGGTAAAGAAGAGGCTCCTTATTAGATTTCGACGTACGATTTAACTTGGAGAAATATGAGGTCTCAAGGCAGATATACGTTATGAGGTAACAGGCTAGCAGACAGACTAATGAGGCAAAGGATATGGTTTGACCCAAGGCGTCCACGTTGTGTAAAAAGGTAATAAATCAAATCCTACTCCTATAAGAGGAGGAAGAATGCATTAAGTTAAAACACTCGAAAGGAGTCGAGTGAAGACAGCTTCATTCTTTCCACTCTAAACTGAACAGGTGTTTGCTATCTCAACTGGCATTTGACAGTTAAAATTTAATTTAATTAACTTTATAGTGGGATGTAGAAATTCTATTTAATCGTTTAATTCGAATCGTTTTAGAATATCATCTGTCAAGGAGAAGATGAAATGTCATCTTTAAACGAAAGGAGAAGAGAGCTATCCACTATCGATGGATACGAACACGGAAAAGGATGCCCCCTATCTGCAAAGGAAACGACAAGACGTCAAAATGCCGGTTGGGATGATGCGGATGAAACGAGAATCTGGGATCCGTAAAAGCTGAAGAAGAGGAGGAGGAGGAGATGGAAGAAAAAAAATACGTCAACTGCTCGGTTGCTTATCGGCGGAGAACATGTGTCTGCATTAAGTTTTGGACCGAGTCGGAAAATAACTGGATGGGTTATCGAGAAAGGAGAGCATGACGATCACAGTCAATCATCTTGGTGGGTTATAAACAACTCCGCTTCTTCTCTTTTCAGGAATAAAACAATATTTAGGTTGGTCTCGTAGCTTTAAAACTCGAAAAATATGCTATTCTATCACCCAATGCGGTTCTATACTCAACTCTGCATTCGTTTAGGATATTAAAAATAGATATCTGTAATTTCTCATGCATTTTTTACATTATCGATTCTGGTAATTGTCATAACGATAAAAATGCATTGAAATAAATCAGATAATGTTTGGATTTTTATATATAAGCATGAATTCTATATGTAATTTTTACTTAAAAGTAGAGACAGAGATGCAGAAAGAGATGAGAATTTGATCATTTTCAATCTTCCTCATCACTTTATTACTGCATATTAATATAATTTAATGCCAGAGTATTACTACATATTCCAATTATACCCATCTTATTTAATAATTGAGTAATACTACTCAACTCAACATCATCCATTAATTTTAGTCCTTCCCATTCTGACTCGAAACTACTATTTTATGCCAAATTAATATATTTATGAGTCAAGAACATTTAAAATCAAACCACAGAAAGGAAAACGAGTACAGAAAGACACGATTTTAATTATTTAATTTATCAAAAATTATATGTATAAAAATAAATTCAGATTTAAAACTAAATTTCCTTCTCATCTCCAGCATCCTTCTGCTGCTCATCGTCCCTTAAAAATCCATTAAAAATCGGATAAGTTATTAATTTTAACTTATTTTGACATGAAAAAGAAATTATAAATTTACATTTATATATTTATTTTTTTTCCTTTTTACTTCTTTCCAATCTTTGGTAAATTTAATTTTCATATCCCAAGTTGCAGAAGGAACATTAATACAAATTTACATTTACTTTAGATTACTTATTTTTATTTTCAACATTTGTCGATGACATCTTTTCATCGATTAGTTGTTACTAAAAAAATTACAAGATGAAGAGAATTAATGCTATTTTATATTATTACATAAGGGGAAGAAAAAAAAATAATTCCTCCTTAATGAAATTTTATTACTACAGTAGCAAAGGATGCTATTTGTGTATCAGAGATTGACCGGTCACATCTGTGTTAGATTCTGGGTCAGTTTGTTCTGTAGAGGTGTGCGGACACTCTAACGACTCAATTAGACGTGCTGGCTTCGTAACAAAGCTGTTTCAATCTTGATTCCCTTCTTTATTTCCAAGCTACGCATCGACTACACTCAATTTTACACGCTTAAATGTATAAGTAAACGACACAGGACTTAATCCCGTGTGTAATTAAAGTTTCTTTAACCATTTAAGACCCATCCTAACTTAGTAATTCGCGTGTAAACTTAACCAAACTATAACTAAAGACATAATTATTTTAAAAACTTACATTGAAGGTAAACAACAGTTCCTGTCACAAGTAGGAAGACGAGCACCAGAACACCCAAAACCAATAAAGTAAGCAATAGGTAGACACTCCTTCTCCTCCTCCTGGTCGTTGTTTCGACTGGTTGAACGCATTCATCTTTCTCTTCCCCGTATTCTATCTTCAATGCCATGGACAGTCAGTTTAAGATGGGAGAGAGAGAGAGAGAATATAAAAAAGTAGTCTGGTCACTTCATTGTAAGTCGAGTAGAATTTTCATAATTTAATTTGAAAAAATTTTTTGTTTCTTTTTAATAATTAAAGCTTGTTTTCTAAACTTTCTTAAATAGGTTTTATGTATTTATAAAGTTTTAATGAAGAGAGACAGCCGCGTTATGTTGATAAGTTGGCAGATGTGGTAGCGAGAGTTGAGTCAAGCGCTCCGATGTGTAGCACGGCGTGGTTGTGCTGTGTATATATAGTAGTAGCCAACCGTACAAGCTCGGTATTCGGCGCCGATGGCAAGTTTGACACGGCGCCGACTCGGACTCCAGCGCACTGTACAGGAGGTAGAAGTTAACCTCGTTCTGGAATGCCCGCTATGTTAGCAGCTAGCGCAGTAAAGAGGGGTGTTTTGTCGTGTGGCACCTTGGCTAAGAGTGCGGTCGTTAGTGTTACTGCGATTTCCTCCACCATTTGAATGGCTACGAAAATTTAATGCTTGGAATGTTACCTTCTACACGTCTACTACACCTCCTCTCCTCTCTCTCTAACATGAGCATGATGATTATCGCTTTGGCTAATTACTCGTATGGCGATGAAATTTAAACTATGATACTTATCCCGACGGAACGATAATTAAGATTTAATTTATATATTTTTTAAACGATTTATATACGTTTTCTTAAAAGTTTGAAATTTGGAACGATTTGTCTCTCTTCTACTGACTCGTAATTTATCTTTCGTTTTATATAGATATGTTTTAAGCTTTTATATTAGTTTCTACCTTACTGTTTTCTTATTCTTTACCTCTTAAATCTTTGATTCACTTTATTATGCTTTACCGACTGTTATTTGGATTATTTTATTCTCTCTCTCTTTTCTTTCTTGCATCAATTCTTTGCTTTGTTCCATCAGTTCTTCACTCCATTCTTTCAGTTTTATCTTCTCTAACGTGGAACGTGTAACAGATAGAACAGGCAGTAGATTCACCTCTCTCTATTCTATCTGTAACACGTACTATACTATTTATTCAAGCTTCGTGTTAGGCTTTTCTCCCTATTGTTTCAACTACTATTCGCTTTCTTCATCTGGTTATTCGCTAACAGTTATTTTCTCTATTATTCTCTTTTTAAAATAAATTTTCTCGTCTTATACTTTATTTTTTTAAATATATTTGTTCCTTTTCTTCCTCTCCACAATCTTTAAAATGTTATGTTAATCATAGTAAACAACTAGAGATGAGGAAGATGAGATGAGAATTAATAGATAATCTTGGATGCTATCCATCTCCTTAAATATCTGGAAGTATTTAATGACAAATAAACATATTTTCCTAACATTATTATATATTTACCCTACATTAAAGCTTATAAATAACTAGATTATAGCTTTACAAAATAATATACAGCAAGGTTAGTAAATAGTGAAACATGAATTGAAAACTTATCATTAATAATTAATTTCCAATAATATAAATACTTTCTCCAGAGATTTTGTTGGTTTGTTCTTTCGTTTATTTGCACTCCATCTCGTTAAACGATCGTAAACATGTGACATTTATTAATTTGTGCTAAGTAAGCTATCTACAATGTTGCTTTGCTAATTACTTTTAATCTAACATGAGTAACATCAATTCAGATAGCACTCTGTAAATCATTAAAGACTGCAGTTATTCATTAAGTGAAATAGGTGCTGATAATGCAATATTATAAGTTGGTTTAGATTTATGTTTAACAAGCATTTACATATTTCTTAATTGAATAAATGACAAGTCTTCCAGTTACATAAAAAAATATGCCATTTTTTTATACTCACCATTAGCATTTCTTCTCCAATCGCCTCACTTCTAGTAAGGATTTGTGCATTTTTATAAATTTATACACGTTTTTAAGGCATAAATGTGTATATAATAAACATATTTATTAATTTATACTTCATGATATATGCTGCTAAATGTCACTCATGATTTATCATAACATTATTAACTCTAATCAAGCTCTGACTGTATATGCTGTATACTAATTTGATAACGTGTATAATGGATAATTATTATACGAATTATATTAATTGAATTATTTAATTAAAAATATTAAAAATATATATACAATTTTTATTACTTTTAAGCCATTTAATGCTTATATTCCTTAACTTTCATCATAATTTAAGTAATGTAAAATGTAAATGAGTGTGAAAATTGTACTAGTGAGAATTGTACACGTCTAAGAAATTCTACTTTATTCCTTAGATACATAGAAATCAATTTAAAATATTTATATTTTTCTTATTTAATTTTGCTCGAGAGTATATAGAAACAACGGTATAAATATTATATCGCATGAAGATAATCTAAAATAAAAGATTCAATATCATTGTAAAAAAATATCTTTTTAGGTTAAAATATAGAAAATTATTTATAATTTTATATAGAAATTAAATATAATTATAATTAAATTATGGTTAAATATTTAATTATACGATAATTATGATTATGTTGAAGCTATGGTTATGGTTCTGAGTTAGATATACTGTAATTATGGCTATGGTTAGGCCATTTCTCATCCTATAAAGTCTAGTAAATTAATATGCAAAATTGAATTTATATGATGGAAATTAGAAGAGTAGTTTAATTATTATAAAAATCTATTAGCCTATATTATACAATTATTTTTTTAGTATTTTAGTGAGATTGTGAGATTAAAATGATAAATGCACATCTAATATTTAAGATAATTGGAGAGGGCAAAATTATAAATTATTCAGATGAATTAGCATAGGTTAGCTTTTAAAATTTATAATTTAGGAATTTAATCATAAAATTCATTTAAAAATTATAATTTCCAGTAGTAAATATAAGTTTAACGCTTGTACATACGAGATTTAAAACACCCGAGTACAATGCACCCATCTAAAGAATACACATTACAAAGAAACCAATTTAAAATAATACATCAACGATAAAATAAAAGTTTACTATTATATAAAACATTCCTTTATAATACAGAATAATTCAGCATTCGATCACAGCCAGTACATTCGTGCAATCATGCAAAGTCGAAAGTATTCGCCACAACACCCCCCTATCAACATTTGTCACGCAAAATAATAAACTCGATACACGAAAAAGTAAAATAAAAATAAAGAAAATGTCAGGAAAACCTTAAATTGACTTCTTCTTAAAAGTTAAATCTAGCGAAAATGAGATTCTTCCTTTACTATTTTTTTATTTTATTTTATTTTATTTTATTATTTTCTTTATTTAAAGACCAATTGATTCGAAAATTCTCCAACAACACAAACCATAATATATATCTGTATATCTAGACGCAGAAAGTAAATTGATGCGAATTCCTTTCCAGTTTCTACCATTCTATACTTTGCTTTGGTCGATGAGATCCTGTTGTAAATACATCGACATCAGTTAGAAAGCGAACGGAATCTCTCTTTTCCAATACTTTGGTTGTAGAACACGTCCACAGTATTGAATGACAATCGTTCTTATTTATTTAACCGGTAAGCATGCCGAGTTATGAAAAAATAGAAAAAAAAAGGAAACCATTTTCCTCCAAGAAAAATATTGACTCCATGCTGATGTATTTATTCATCGCATGAAGCAACTTCTACATTAAAATAATTACGATCCGATGCTGTTTCCTTTACTAGAAAATCGTGATAGATGCAATTTTTTGAATGTTTTATTCGATTTAAACATTTATTTATATTTAATTTATTTTTCTTTATAAAAAATATCTTTTGTTCTTTCTATTTTTGTAGTTGTTTCTACGTTTATCTTGCATCAACTTGCATCATTCAACTCGTTTCTGGTGCTTCAGATATGGAGTGATAATAGCTAAATATTTAAAAATTTTATAGTTTTATATACTTTAAAAATTTATTTATTAATTTATTTTCTTGTTAATTATGGAATTTTCACAGCTTTTAAGTAAAACATTGGCTTCGTGCTGATGTATTTGACATCGCATGAAGCAACTTCGACATTAAAATAATTACTATCCGATGCTGTTTCCTTTAATTTCCCTTATTAGAAAATCATGATAGATGCAATTTTTTTTGAATGTTTTATTCAATTTAAACATTTATTTATATTTAATTTATTTTTCTTTATAAAAAATATCTTTTGTTTTTTCTATTTTTGTAGCTGTTTCCATATTTATCTCGCATCATTCATCTCGTTTCTCGTGCTTTAGATATGGAGTGATAATAGCTAAATATGTAATTTTATAGTTTTATATACTTTAAAAATTCATTTATTAATTTATTTTCTTATTAATTATAGAAATTTTTACATTTTTCAAGGAAAATATATATATTTAGATGACCGTAATGAATCACATTGACTGTACTTCTGAGAAAAGCAAAGTGAGATAGTGGCATTCATAATTTTATAAATTGTACTATTTTAGGAATTTATTTATTAATTTATCCTGTTTCTAAAGATAAAAAATATTCTGTTTTAACAAAAATATTTTTATCACTGTGACAATATTCATGTTAATATAGTGACTCCAATCACGTTATCTCCACCACTAAAAAAATTAGAATTAAATATAATTTATGCAATTTTATTATATTATATTATTTAATTTTAAATAATTAATTATAATTTTTAATGCATCCATATTTTTAAAAAATAAGGTTAAATCACTCCAATTGTATTGATTCCAATTGTATAAAGATAAGGAAAGAGAAGGCCTTACCTGATTTATAAAATTGCTTTAAGCGTTAAAATTAAAAATATTAATTTAGTAATCAATTTACTAATTTATAACATATTTTAAATAAAAATTTATATTTAATAAGTTAAAAAAACCACTTTTTATATTGATACATCGAGCGTAATTCTATGTTAAAGCATTACTCACAATTGCATAAAGCATGAACTAAACATAAATATATAAGATTTTCGAAGATTTTAGGTCTAAAAATGTATTTTTTTAAAATATTTTTACATTTTTTAATATAAAATCTTATATTTTTAATGCAAACATCATCTCGGATGCTGCCGTATTTATTTAACCAAAGAAGTGACTTCCATATTAAAAATCTAGTATATTAATAATCAAAGTCGATTAAATCTCTATAAAAAAAGTGGGCCAAGCAAATAAGAGAACAATTTTATAAAGTTGTCCTATTGAAAAAGACAAATGCAGTCTAGAATCCTTTATATTTTCTTATCAAATGCGCTCTGTCAATCAGAAAAGACAATCCTTTGTGCTACACTA